GAACATCTCACCTGCGCTTGCTTATGGAAAATCTGAGACAGAAGGATACCATACTGAAGGCTCGGGAGCACCAATGATCCTCTTGATCTGGGGTACATGTGCTCCAGCGGCAGGCTGGAAAGTGACACAAATTCCCACGAAAGCAAATGAAAGGCATCAAATGGAAATAGAAGTTATATGCTGGGGAAGGGAAGACGGTCTGCTGTGTCTAAAAGGGAATAGGTAAGATAGGAAAGGTTTCTCAGCATCTGATATGGTTTAAGTTTTGTTGTTAGACTTAGTTGGCTGAGGCGATGGCTCGGTGAGTAAGGACTTGTGCTTGGATCCTCAACACCCACTTGAAAGCCAAGCCATGGCGGCAGGCAAAACTCAGCACTGGGGTGTGGGTAGAGGGATAAAAACAAGTAGACTCAAGGGATCCCTAGTCAACCAGCCTAGCTGAATTGGCAAATCCAGGTTCAGCAAGAGATCCTGTCTCAAAACATAAAGGAGGAGAGCGACCAAGGGAAGACGCCCAACATTGACATCTGGCTTTCATATGCACAGACACACATGTGTACTTGAACACACATACACACATCCCCCCACTAACATCTCCCTCACACACAGACACACATCTCACACACACACACACCCCTCCACTAACATCTCCCTCTCACACACACAACATACACACACAGACACACATCTCACACACACACACACACACATCCCTCCACTAACATCTCCCTCTCACACACACACAACATACGCACACAGACACACATCTCACACACACACACACATCCCTCCACTAACATCTCCCTCACACACACACAACGTACACACACAGACACACATCTCACACACACACACACATACATCCCTCCACTAACATCTCCCTCACACACACATACAACAGACACACATCACACACACACACACACACACACAAGAAAGAGTATTCTGGTGGAAAACTAAAGAGGTTTGGAGTATCTAGAGGACAACAGTCCTGTGGGCAGGCCTTTCCTGTGCTATGAGAGAATGTCATGAGGGATGGGAATGGACAAGTACACACACACACACACACACACACACGAGGGGCAGGGAGAAACCAGAAATTATACCGTCCTGATTTAGTGGAGGGCACATATATATGGAAGACCCCAGGATCTCACTCAAACAGCAATGGTACACTGCTTCAGATCAGAAGAATTATAGGTGGTTTTCTATGTGCTTTGTTTCCTATTTTTAGAAATGAATATGCATTACTTTTTATTCTGAAGAAAATGGAGACCTGTATCACCACCAGAGACCCCCTCGTTGCTCCTAACTGAGCTTTGGTCTGCCTGTTTCACTAAAAGCAAACCCTTCCTGAATCGCTAGGTAAATATTAACGTGTTGCTAAGTGAATAGGAGGCACAGCATCCCACCAAAGCAGCCTTCCTCCAGACATTTCAGAACTCATGTGTGATGTACCTTTGGGTCAATTACTTTAAAATCAGACTTAAAAGCTGGCTTTAATGCTAAGAAAAGGAAAAAGCTCTCTGCTCTTTGAATATTCACCTTTCTTCGGCTCGTTTCCTCTCTGGGCACAGCAAGAGGGTTTGCTGGATTTGCATGAAAGTCGTAGTAAGTAGCTGCCTGAGTCCAACTACTGGGCAACTCCCTGTGAATCACCACCCAAACCTTCCAGCAGCAAACGTGTTTGTGGAGCCTGGAGACAGCTTCCTCCTAGGAAAAACACTTCAAAGTCCCAGAAGAAGTTTTTACCTACAAAGCCATTTCCTACCCTTAGCTTCAAACACAAGAGAAGCCATTCCGGAAATGTGACTCAGAGAAAGATGATTAGGGGACAGTGGTTTCCACCAGAGACAGAAATAGACACGCAGGAACTGAAGGCCACCTGGTGAGGAAAGCTCGTCTAACCACCCTCCCGGAGCTAGCCTCTGGCTGCTCTGCGCTTTTCCTGTCCACTTCCACCAGGGACAAGAAGGGAACCCACTCCAGATACTACAATCTGTCTCAGGTGTCCTCACTGCCACGTCCTGCTTCCCAGTCCTTAAAACGACAGGAAAAATGAGTTTGGCCTCCAAGGCTTTAAGAAGATTAACTGAACATAATGCAGCACACCTTTAATCCCAGCACTCAAGAGGCAGAGGCAGGCAGATCTCTGTGAGTTTGAGGCCAGCCTGGGCTACAGAGTGAGTTCCAGGACAGCCAGAGTTTCAATAGTAAGACCCTGTCTAAGAAAAAACAACAAACAAACAGAGGACCTGGTGGGAGGACGTTCTCTGAGAGGCGCTAAATGTGAAATGCGGGGCCTGCACCAAAGAGATGGTGTGAGGATGGCTTGCCAACACCACATGACATGCACCAGACTCTAACCCTAAAGAAGACAATGGGTAAAAGCAAAAAACCAAAAACCTAGGGGACAGAGTCCTCTTGTCCCATAATCATTTGCCACATTCACGTCAGAGGGGGCTTGTGCATTTGGAATTCCACTGCTTAAATAACTTGTTCTAGGTGAGCTGGCCCTGCAACCAAAGAGAAAGGTCTTGGAAGCACATGCTTCCTGGAGAACTTGTCTTTCTCGCCTACCTTTTCAGCTGTCGCTAATTCCTCAACAAACATGAGTTCTGCCTTAACCTGGGCATCCCACACCCTCCATATCTAGGCCATGTTGGAAGGAAGCCTGGGGACAGGTCAGTGACTGGGGATACTGTGGCTCAGGTTATGTTCCATAAGGAGGGAGGGGCATTCTACCACACCGGAAGTGAGAGTCAGCCGGCTCAATAGCAGTCGCCCGGTTAGCACCACAGGCTCATATAGGAATAGGAGCCAGGAAATGGAGAACACAAAGGGAGATTTGTAGAACTTAATATGTCTGGGTTAATTTTAAAAGAAAAGTAAGAAAAAGAGTTAAGACCTTCTGTAAGCTGGTTTTATTTACACTTTGAACAAACAGTGCAGAATAAAAATTGACGGCATCCTTCCGGAGCCTGAGCAAAGGCAGCGTTCCTATGGACCCTCCCTCTAAATCCTTAGTACAAATTTACACTGGTCTTCATGTAAACATACAGGGTTTCAAACACTTTGGTGCTATGGTTTTGAAAGGGGGGAGTCCTGCACAGGCTCATTTATTTAAATAGTTGGTCCCCAGGTAGTGCTATTGCTCTGGCAGGTTGTGGAACCTTTTGGACGTGATGTCTAGAAGGCAGACTTAGGGCCATGGGGGGTGGTCTGAGTCTGCATCTTGCTTCCTGACTGCAGACACCAGACACCTCATACTACTTACTGCTCCCCACCCCCACACCTTCCTTACCAAGATGGACTGCACTCTCTCAAACCGGGGGGCTAAGTAAAACCTCTTCTCCTTAAGTTGTCAGGCATTTGGTAACAACAAGAAAATTAGACAATACATTTGGTTTTTTGGTTTTGGTGTGTGTGTGTAGTTTTGTTGTTGTTGTTTGTTTGTTTGTTTGGTTTGGTTTGGTTTATGACTGTCCTGTAACTCACTCTGCAGACCAGGCTGGTCTCGGGATTAAAGGCATGTGCCACAACCACCTGGCATAAATTTGGTTTTCAAATGCTCTTTACAAATGAGATGACTGAGGAACTGGGTCTGGTGGTTACAGTGAATCTGAAAATAATTGTAACTGTCACTGGATAGTCTAGATTAGTGAGTTATCCAAATGAAATGCAAGAGAAACACTGAAAATACAAGGTAAAATGCTGGACAAATTTTCAGTACAGAGTTACTATGCATATTGTGAATAGATTTTAACTGCAAATGTCATGTAATAAGAACACCAAATCCTAGTATGACGCCTGGTGTGTGGTGCCTACTGGGCAGTTTCAACTACAAGGGTAGTTTCAAACACAACTATGATATGTTGTTGTACACACATCTCCTTCATTGAGGGTATCTCTAGATCTAAGGCCACGACATCACAGTCCTGGCTATAAGACACTGCACTGGAGACCACCCCAAACATCCAAGAACCACCTGGAAGGTCCCCCGCCGTGGCTACTAGCCTCTGAAAATCAACCAAATGACGAGACTGCACAAGGCAAGAACTAGACTCTTAGATGCCCGTGGCCCCCAGAAGTCTGAGACAATCATGCAGTCAGTCATCAATTCCCCAGAAGAGGGAGGAGCTTCTGCCCTGTCCATCACGAGTTAGAACCCTGCTAGGCATGTGCCGAGGACGCAGCTTCACGGAGACACCTCTATGCACAGCCATAGCCCAGCCTTGAGGCACAGGACAGGGAGTGTCACTGCCTCTGACCTGGCTGAGCCCCAAAGAAAGACCCAGTTAACCTGAAGACATCAGTGGGAAATTTAACACTGCATCTCTTGGAGACAGATTGTGGGTCCTGATCCATCACAGCTTCCCTTCATCCCTCAGCCATGGCTTCCTCTCTCGGAAGCATGCCACCCCCCCCCCAAAAAAAGCATACGTAGCCCGGGGTCAGAGGGGCACGCCCTTCAAGTGTGCTCTTTTGGTTAGTTGTCTGGACACGTTTCGTTATACACGTTCCAGGGTATAAAAAGGAGCCCACGACAAGGCCTTTGTGGCTCTCAGTGACTTTGGATAAGGATGGCTTCTCTATCTTCAGAGAGGCAAGAGTTAAAATACTCACCAGGGTTTCATATCTACCTAAAAATATCTACTGTTTTCTGAAAAGTCCTTGTCATGGATGATGTGAAGGACAGGGTGTTTCTAAGCAACAAAGATACAAGTCTTTCACCCACCATTCACTACCTAAACACTAGCTGACTACCAAAACTGTTCCTAACACCAACGAGGTCATTTTCCATCTGTGTCCTACAGGTACAATATGGGATTCCTTGCTTGCCCGCTTGTTTTGTGGTGCTGAGACTAGAACCCAAGTTGTCACGCATGCCAAGCCAGCCCACTCCCGATAAGCAACATCCTTCGGCTGGAAAGAGTCTTTGAACATCGCACCAGGTCAAACAGAACAGCAGGAGGGGACAGGCAGGGCAGCAGACTCACTCTTTGGTCAGAAGAGGACAGGATTTGAGCAGGAAGCGTGAGAGACCAGAGTCCTGGAAGTAGAGGTCGGGAGGGGCAGTGGGGCTCTTCAGGTTCAAACACCGCACGATAACGTAGAGAACGGCAGCTACTGCGGCCAGCTTCACCCCATCAAACACGGCGGGGAGCTCGGGGGTCTCCAGCATGGCATTCATCTTGATCTAGGAAGCAAAGGCACAGATCTGGGCTCACAAACATGGTCAGGGCGAGGGGGTGGAGCCCACCTCCTGTAGAGGCATGGCCAGGGCGAGGGGGGTGGAGCTCACCCCCTGTAGGGGCATGGCCAGGGCGAGGGGGGTGGAGCCCCCCCGAGACTCATGGCCAGGGCGAGGGGGGTGGAGCCCACCCCCGGAGAGGCATGGCCCACTCTGGTTGTGTTCACACATTCCCACAGGGTGCTCCACAGACTGCCCCCATCATCATCACCTGACAACACCAACGCCCAGCCAAACCCCCAACCACATAAACAGCTGAGTGTTGACTAAGGAAGGTACTGTACTCTCATGAGCAGTTTCAAGATGAACACTGCAGTTAAGAGTCTTTCTGAGAGCGGGAACGGCAAGGTGAGTTAGGAAGGTTTATGGGAAGTGCTTTGATGTCTGTGAAGAAGCCACTTAAATCTCTGGAGACATAATGGCACTTGGGCACCAGGTGTGTCAAGTGTTGTTTCTAGCCTTGAACAGCAACACGGGACTGTGGGTGCCACCAGGTAAAGCTGTGCGGCATTCTGGCCCCACTTCTCCACGGAGTCCATGGACTACGTAATTCTATTCAGACTTGGCCTAGGTCAGGTGGTCCCGGCTCCTGGGGCTTTTGGGCAATGTGAGATAGACCCAGTTATTTAAAAGACTTTTTCTCCTCCAGGAGGAACCTGAATGTCGCTACCAGTCCAAAGTCGGGCCAACAACAGACCGAATTCAACCACTAGACCAAAATTTAAGATTGCAATACAGAAAAGACACATGCATATCTAATTTCCCACAAAGTGTCTTAATATTTCACCTTTTGAGGTAAGCATTCCCTTGATACACAAAGCATGCACACACACTTCAAACACATAGAACCAGACATCAACAACAAAATCTAGTCTTTTCCTCGATGCTCTACAGGGTTAGGGTGAGTAACCAAACATGGGGATGTACACCTGTAATCCTACAACTTGGGTGGTAGCAGCACAAGGATCAGGAGTTTGAGGCCAGCCTAAGCCATGTGGCACCCTCTCTCACAATGAAATGGGGAGTGGGGGAAGGCTAGCAAAAAACTAACAAAAAAGAAAGAAAGAAAGAAAATGTAATGCTTATAGCCCTGGTAACTATGGTAACGGCTTTCCCTGGACCAATTTCAAGTAGCCAATGCTAAAAACAGTTATGAGAACTCTGGCATCCAATGATGGAGACATGATGGGTAGGGTGAAAAAAGTCTCCAAAATGTGTATAATAGACTGAAGGCTACTGAGACCTACAGCAAGTCCAGAGGGGCCTTGGAGACTCCTCTATAATCAAAGTGACACAAATCTCTGGCAAGGTCTTCAGTTTGGTAAGAAACAGATCAAAGGTCACAGCTTCTTAACTGGCCTTCTGTCATCAAGATAAAAAATAAAAGGACGTTCTAAAACATTCCTGGAGGGCTGGCAAGATGGTTCATCGGGTAAAGGCACTTGCGGCCAACACTGATGACCGTAGTTTGATTCCCAGAACCCACTTGGTGGAAGGAGAAAAATTACTGACTCTAGCAAGCTGTCCCCTGACTTCCACACACATCCTATGACATGAGCCTATCCACACCACACATAAATGCTTTAGAGAAAAGTTTTAAAAGCCAGGGCTGCCCTCCAATACACAGTCATATTCAAGGCCAATTTGGGATGAGACCCTGTCTCATCAATAATAAATAATAATAAGTATTAATTAATTAAATAAAAAGAAATCATCCCTGACACAATTTTAAGTTTTGTTTTTTTTTTTTCCCCAAAACAGTTTCTCTGTGTAGCCCTGGAACTCACTTTGTAGACCAGGCTGGCTTCAAAACTCAGAGATCTACATGCCTCTGCCTCCAAGTGTTGGAATTAACGACAAGTGTGACCATGTCCAGCCCTGAAACTCTGTCTTACAGCAAAAGCAGAAAGAAAAATCTACCATAAATTGCAGATTTCTCTGATATGTGCTGGTGAAATGGAAATAACGTCTATGTGTTTCATTGTCCTCTCTGGCATGAGAACAGAGGCTGGCCATGGCAGCTTTCCCAGTCTCCTTGCTGGTCAAGACTAGTAACTCACCCAAGGATCCTCCCCTTCCAACAACCATGCAAACAAAGATGTGTCTTAGCAGGACATACCTATGTGGTTGTTCCTCTCACAGAGAATGTGGGTTTTCCTTGAAGAGTTGAACAGTTGGGCCAATCAGATCTGATCTTGTATTCAAATTAACCTAAAAGCGAAGAGAACTGGTTATAGGTAAAGTATTAAAGAATGAGAAAGCATTTTTCATTTTTGTGTCGTTTGGAGACAGGGTCTCCCATACCCCGCACTGATTGGCCTTGAATTTGTGGCATCCTCTCTTGCCTGTACTTCCCAAATGCCGGTATTACAGGCATGTGTCATCATGCCTGGCCAATAACCGTTTTAATTGAAACATAAACAGTCTACTTTTCCTTTCACTGCACTTAAAGTCTTCAGAGGAAAGGGCAATTTCTTTAATTAACCTGTCTGCCATGGTCTTGAACGTTTTCATAAACTGGCTGGGGGGGGGTGTGACCCCACCACGACCCGGGGCTCTCACTGGCTCTGGAGACATGTTTCTTCCATGTTTCTTCTGACTACAGCAAACTCAAGCTACTTTTACTCTTTCTCCCACAACACGATCCTGAACAATGCAGACGGGACAGGTGCCCTCGCTGTGACATGACATAAATGAGATGGCTTTAGAGCAAGACAGCACGGCCAGTGAGTCATGCCCTTTCTCCCAGACATACAGCAAAGGGGACGATAATGGGAGCCAAGGGAAGTAAAAGGTGCAAAGACAAGGCTCCAAAAACACAAAAGAAGAGCAAACTGTGCACAAAGCTCTGTTCATGAATATTAATTCATTTGCTCCTTTCCATCCCTGTGGGACAGACGCCAGTATCACTCCATTTTACAGGTGGGGAAACTGAGGCCTACGAAGATTAAGTTTGCCCAAGGTCACAAGACTGGTAGGCAGAAAGACCAATGTTCATTTCTGACTCCAGAGCCCTTGATACAGTGAAGTAAACAAGGAAATGAATGGCATGGAGGACAAACACAGAAGACACTAAAGGCTTGCCCCAAATCACAGGAACACAAGCAGAGTAGGTAGCCAGGCTCCATTTGCTTCTGGTTGGCCACACTAACATTAACGAAGAAGAAAAGGAAAGGCAGGTCAGGGACTGGCTCACCAGCCTTCACAGCAGCCCTGCTCTATCTACTTCACATCCGTACGAGCTCTTCCTGTCCCAAGACAAATCAGCCGCAGAGGCCAGGGTGAGGTGAAGCAGGAACTGCAGAGCGCTGTCCCCGCCACGGCACGGGCCACCTGGGCCCATCAGGCCCCCAGGCTCAGCTGCAGGAGGAAAACAAGACACAGCCCTGACTCAACATCTGTCAGAGCTGCTGGCCCACGGCCTGCTGTTATCTTTGCCGGTTTTGGCGGTGGTTGTGAGTATCTCACTCTGTAGCTCAGGCTGGCCTTGAACTCTTGGCAGTCCTCCCTCGCCAGCCTTTTATGTGCTGGGGTTATAGATGTGAGTCACCATGCCTGGCTTTGCCTGGCATTTAGGGGGATTTTTTTTTGTTTGTCTGTTTGTTTACTAGTTGTCAAACATCAAACTGCAAGCACAAATCTAAAAAAAAAAAAGCAAAACACAAACAATAAAACAAACCAGAAGATTTGGTAAAACAGAGCCTGCCATGGCAACAATGAATGAGACTGTTCCTCCAGACACAACACATTCTGTGACAGAGTTTGTGAAGTCTCTGATGCTGACCCTACCACCCCCAGCCCAATGTAATCATTTCTTATACCTGAGTCATCCCTATAATTATCTTCCAGAGCATGTGATCCTTGGAAAAACCTAACTAAAGTCTCTTATAGCCTTGGGTAAGTCTGTACTGGCTGAATATTTAAAAATATCAACTATAAGCACAAATGATAAAATCATAGCCAAGTTTTGAAAGGCAAAATGTCAAAGCTTATAGGATGTGTTTACTATATTCATCAGTTAAAGTCTATTTATGTTTAAACTTCTCATAAACTGAGGAAACTTTGACAAAGCATTTTTCCCTGGGAATGTGCCTTGTTGAGTAAACTGACATACTCCTGGCTCCCTTGCAGCTAGGTGAGTCCATTTGACTAAATGGCCAATTCTAAATAGTCTGGTTTCATTTCTAAGAAAACTCCTTTAAAAGGGAGTCAGCCTTCCTGCCCTCTTCTCTTCTTGCCTCCCTGAAATGCAGACAATATGGCTGCAACTCCAACAGGCATCTTGGGCCATGAAAAAACCTTGGAATAACTCTAGATGTCTATTAAAACCAACAGATTAGAAGGTGATTTAGCAGAGACACCATATCAGACCTAGGTCATCTGTCTTGGAATTCCTTTTATGTGAAAGAATGAATAGTTTACACCACTGTTATTTCTAGATGCTTTCATTATACAATTTCCAATGACACATAAATACTACATACCTATCTCTGTGATGTTAGAAGCATCAATTGCCAAGTGTGAGATGCTTCTGCTGATACTTATAAGAGTGTTTTAATTTATTTTCAAAATTCACAATGACTTTAACTATTTGGTTACTAGAGAAAAAGCTTTAAGAGCTAGGGGTAGAACTCAGTGGTAGAACACTTCTAAAATGTACAAGGCATTGGGTTCATTACTTGGTACCACAAGGAAGGACAGAATTCATGAATGTATTCATGCTAAAGGATGGAATTCATGAATGTATTCATGACAGCTGGCTTTAAGATAGCAACTAACAAAATATATGAAAAAAGTTAAAATCTAGTACAGTCAAAATAAACATCATGTCCATAGTTCAGCTAGATTAACTCTGGGTTTTCTGCCCTCCAGAGGAGAAAGAGAAACCCGGTGAGGTGGGTGGGTCCCCAGTGGAAAGAGCTAACAGAGCATTCTGACCCCTTGGGTGCATGACATGCTCTCGGTGGAAGAAGGGCTTTTCTGGCACAGGATTATTTTGAAGACATGCAGGACTTTATAGAGAGGACTTCCACTGACGGTGTCCTCAGAAAGCTTTTTTTTTTATTATTATTTTAATAGCAAATGCAGCAAAGAATTGATTTCCTCAACCCTTGAAAAATAACAAGGTTTTAAAACTCAACTCAGGGCAGACAATTCCATGGATGGTTTACAATTACTATGACCCAAATTACAGCCTTGGTCCAAGACTTGAGTTTAAGGGTCCTGAGCAGCAAGTGGGTTCTGTGTGTCCCTGGTGAGTGCAACCCTTAAATCCTAGCGGGCTTAAGTAGCCAACTATTGACTGGGTGCTTGTTATGGCACAGAACCACAATAAAGTACCGTCTGAATACAACCGGGGAAAACAAGCTAGGGTTCTGTGTACTTTAGGAACTTGGAGATGAGAATACTTGAGCAAGGAAAGGCCTGGAACAGCTACATCCAGAAGTGGGCCTCAGTGTATCAAGTCTAGGACTTTAGAAGTACATGTATGTCTATGTATGTCTGTACAATAAATACCTACCTACCTGTCAGTCTATGCAGGTATTAAACTAGGAATCATCGGGAAATTCCAAAACAAAGCTCTTCACACCCATTTCGACTCATCTCTCTTTTTTTTTTTTTTTTTTTTTTACAAATCTGACCTGGTAATTAATATGAGATATTCTAAGCTTTGTCTAGACATAGCAAACTAGACATACTACCCTGCATATGCTAGATTTCATCTGATCTTGGAAGCTAAGCAAGGCCCGGCCTGGTTATCACTCAGATGGAAGACATACCAAACTCAACACTATTTTCAGTGCTCCCCCACTCCATTTTCTAGGCAGATGAAGTCCAGTTGGGATGAACCCAGTCTCAGATGGTGAAAACACATCATGGGGGGTGGGGGGCTGGGTGTGTGAAGGAAGGGGCCAGCCTTTCCCCCACCTGTCTCCATTGAGTCGGGCGCCCCTTGTACCTGTATCAGTCTTTATTCTGTGGGCTACCCTACACTCCAGTTCTGCCATTTTATGAGTAGATTTTGGTGCTGTAACTGATAGTTAGTATTCTATTTGTCATCTATATCATCCAAAAGAAAATGCAGGATGCTGCCGAGTGTCCAGCATCCGGTCATTAAGGGAGCTCTCGGCACTGCTGTTGGCCTCTAAGACTTGCTTGGCTGGTATTTCCACCCACGCTGAAGGCCTAGGCTGTGCCTCCCACGCTTCTCATGGCTCTCCTGTGGCCAAGAGTATCACTTAGGATGGAGGCCCCTGAGACCTGGGATCTAGAACCTGTTCTACCTAGTCAACTTGAAATAGTCACTTAGCTTTTCAGGCCCTAAGGATCTCAGCTGTAAAATGAGAGGCTTGGATTAGAGTAGAAAACTCTCTCAGTTTGAAATGTCTAAGATTTTGGGGAGACAAATGCCATCACTGGCAAAAACGCACAGGAAGATTAAATGTCTTTGTGCTTCGTGACGGAATGAAGTCCCTGTTTTCCTGCCTCAGACCACACATAATAAAATTCACAGACCCCCAAAGCTTTTGTTCTTTCTCCAAGTCAATTAAAATTATATATTTTCAGCTGTGTCATTTAAACCAATAATTCCATTATATTATTCCACTAAGTGTCTCAACGTATGGGCTATCACCATCATCACTACTAAATTCTCTTCTTAATCTGACACACAGAAATCACACAAAAGACGCCTGGCTGACGAACACCAGGGCATCATTGAACAATGAGACAGCTAGCTGATGGTCTACTGGAACTACCTCCAACAAGATTAAAATTAATCCCAGGACATTCTCCTCCAGAGTCCTCCACAGAGGAACCCTGTTGGAAATTAAATACACCACTGATAATAGATGGTGATCCTCAAAGGGTCCCAAGCAGCTGGGCATAGTGGTACACACCAGAGTCCCAGGACTCAGGGAGGGGGGAAGCAGGGGGGCTGTGGGCAAGCTCCAGGCCAGCTTGGTCTGGAGCACAGTGAGAAGCTCTTTCTTCAAAAAAAAGAAGGAAGGAAGGAAGGAAGGAAGGAAGGAAGGAAGGAAGGAAGGAAGGAAGTCCGGGTTTTATGCTAATGGCCTTCCGATATTCCCACTGTGTCCTACAGAGGATCCCTCCTGCCCCTTATATTTACCTCCCCTTGTAGGGAAGTCCATGCTTCTCCCCATCCTGACCCACAACTCTAGGCTAGCACATAGAAAGCCTCTGGCAACTGAAGGTGTTAGGGGGTTTAGGAACAACACTCTGCCACAAAAATATGATCTATGTCCACTCCATGTCATACAAAAGGCCGTCAGCCCCAGTGTGGGCAGTACAAGACCTATGGAGAGAGTGGAGAGAGCTATTTCACTAGAAGTCAGAGCTATCATATGACACAGGAATTGAGTGGCAAGCCCAGGACAAGATGGCTAGGAGAAAGCCTAGTGTCCACTCAAGATGTGTCTTTGTACCCTGGAGTTATTTGCCACTAAATTATTTTTCTATTGCTGTGATAAAATACCACGACCAAGGCACTGGGCTCACTGTTCCGGAAAGCTGGAGTCCACGGCAGCGGGGCAGAAGTGGCAGCAGGAGGCTGGGGGTCACACCTTGAACATCAAGCAGGAAGCAGGCATAGAGCAGGATTGGCCCCAGCTTTCAAAGCTCAGAGCCCACTCCTAGTGACACACCTCCTCCAGCAAGGCCGCACCTCCTAAGCCTCCCTAAACAGTGCCATCAACAGGACCAAATATCCAAGCACCTGAGCCTCTAGGGGACATTTCTAATCAAACCATCACACTCCCATAGAAGGGAGACTCTCAGAGGAACTTCCAAGAGGTTTTGAGACTCAGCCTCATCTTCTGAGAACCGGGCAATCCCTGACAACCCGGGCCCCACTCTGGGTCTAATACCTCTGGTGGTTGAGCATCTGAGCCAGCAGCTCACATAACATGTCCACATGACCTAAATCCCTCTCCCTCAGAGCCTGGGGAGGATGGAGTGTTCTACTCACTTGCTGTGGGCTCTGAAAGACCCTCCTTCTGGACCACCACTGCTCAAACTCCCAAGTGACGAGAAAGCCTGGCAACTGCACCAATTCTCATTTCAAAAAAATGCCAAGAGGCATTTATGTCTCAGCATCAGCACGCGGTAACTAGCTGTTTCCCAACTAGCTGTTTTCCTTTGGTACCTGCTGCTGCTGACTCTTGGGGCCACCCAGGGAGATCAGAGCAGGGTTCCCATGCTGAAGTTGCTGGAGCTGAGAGGCTGAAGACCCCTCACGAGCTGGCCACAGTGACACATGCGCCATCCCAGAATTCTGGAGCTGCAGGCAATGGAGGCAGTAGGATCTTGTTTGCAGCCAGCAATATAGAGTAAGACTTTATCTCAAGACCAAAACCAAAACCAAACAAAAACCCAATAAACACACACACAGAGATAGACGGACAGGCAGGCAGGCAGGCAGGCAGGCAGACAGACAGACACATACACACACACACACACACACACACACACACACACACACAAAGACTGACATCTCTCATAAACTAGATCCTGGAAGATGAAAGTCTGTACAAAGTCACACATAATTTGATTAAGTAGAAGACATGGTAGATAATTAAATTTATATTAATGTTGCCTTCAATTTCATTAAAATCTCAGACCCTAAAATTCCTTTTTTTTCTTTTTTTTTTTTTTTTGTGCAAGCACACTCAGGTGATAGTTTTATTTAACTGCATTCCTCTACAAAGCTGTGGGTCTGGAGTGATACTCCGGGGTGAAGGCCATCTCTTCAGTTCAGGACTCCGGTTCGGTTCCCAGCACCCACAGGGAGCCTCATAACCGCCCAGAAGATGCCTCTTCTGACTCAGTGGGTACCAGGCATGCACGAAGTACAAACACATACATGCGGGCCAAACACCCATACACAGAAAATAGAATAAACCTCAAAAGAGATTTTTTCAGGAAAGCAAGAACATGAAGACTTCACATGGAAATGTCAGGAATGGCTACTAACCCACCAGCTTTCACTAAAGTAACTCACTAAACTAAAAATATCTGAAGACTGAGTCATCAGTTAAACATGATCATTTAATTGGGCACTTTGCATTTGCAGAAATGCTGAAGAGAAGCTGGTCTCTCCCGCTTGTAAAGAAGCTGGGGTGTGGGGAGGGGGGGGGCAGGTGTGGGGGTGGGGGGTGCTATGCCCTGAAGAAGGATGGAGAAATGCTTAGAACCTGTCCCTACCCCACTCAGAAATGTTCTCTACCATGAAGAAACCAGCCCATGCTGAGAAGGAACAAACAAACAAAAACAAAAGCCAGCTGTTTCCTCTAGAGATTCCAGAATCTTCAAAGAGGACATTTCTAAGAAAATATTCTAATAGATTCAATAGCTCCAAATATTGCATTTTTAAAAACTATACTAAAATTAAACTCTATTATCAAAGCAAATTCTCAGTTTCCAGAATCTGACAAACACCATTGCTTCATTTGCTACAAGGCCGGACCCACACCTACCATCCCACCTTCGTTCTTCTTTTTGGGGGGGAGGGGAGAGTTTCTAGACATAATTTGTTTCTCTGTGTAGCCCTCGCGATCCCAGAACTCACTCTGTAGACCAGGCAGGCCTCGAAATCACAGAGATCCGCCTGCCTGCCTCTGCCTCCTGAGTGCTGAGATTAAAGGTGTGTACTGCCACCATCCAGTCCAGATTCTTTTCTCCTTTCTTTCTTCAGAGTTTTGTGCATTCTAGACTGACTCAGAATTTACCAAGCAGCCAAGGATAACCTGGAATTCCTGATCCTATGGCCCCCACCTCCCAAGTGCTGGGATTATAGGCATGTGTTATCTTGCCCAGTTTTAAGAGGTAGGGCTCAAATCCGAGGATTAATGCACGCTAGGCGGCATTCTCAACCAAGCTTCATTCCCAGACCCATCTGCCAGATTTTTTCAGAGAGGGGTACACGTGAAGAGAACAGCTCCAGATCTACAGGAGCTACACGGACAAGCTGCCACTCTGCAGACAAGCTTTTAGAAGGGAGGGAACGAGGTGGGAGCCAGTGGGAGCATGGTTAGGAAGCTGCCCATCTTGCATCTCACCATGGCGAGCACCAAACAGTAGATCTGCAAGGAGACCTGACCCACGTGCCAAGCCCTTCACCTCCCCACAGGGAAAACTGACTCATCTCATCCTTCCAGAACTCCTGGAGCTGAGCTCACTCATCCTGCCTCCCCTCTCAGCTCTGTGGCTTTTAGGATGAATTCTATCAGCTGTGAGAGCAAGGGCTCTCCTCAGGACTGTGCCACTGGGCCCCTAATAAAGGCTAGACAGTGATGACAGCTCCATCATCTTCATCCTTCTGAGACTGGCAAGAGAATATAATGTGCACAGCTTTGGAAGGCACTCTTCACTTCTTCAAGCTGTAAAAGCACCTTGGAAGCTATGAGTAGAAACAAGAGCCTCTGCCAGTCCACAGCGGCAGGCTTGGAGGTCACGTGGGCTCCACTGAGACCCAGTCTCAGATAACAGGTGTGAGCAGCCAACACAGACAAGTACAAACCACTGATTTGTGGGCCCTGGGCTATGAATGAAGGAAAGGGGAGTGTGAGAGAGACACACACAGCCTCTGCTGTCGGTTCTATGGATTCTGAGAACTGCAACTTCCAGAGCACAACCCAAGTGGTAACTTGATGTCAGAGAGAGGGAGAGACAGACAGACAGACAGACAGACAGACAGACAGACAGACAGAGGATACCATGCACACCCTCTATGCTTGTACCAATGACATCTAGAGTGATTGTCCTCTAAGCATTCTGTGCCATGCATCTTAGCACGGGTCCCTTGCTCTCCCTGGATATTTTCAGACAGCTTGAGAGCCCACGTGACCTATTCAAATACAGGTTTTAGGATCAGAAGCTCTGGGTTTGAATCCCAAGTCTGCCAAGTAATCTTAGGTAAATTGTAGAAATTTCATGTTAATTTGTACTTTTGTCTAAAAATGAGGGGGCATAAGCTCATTTACAGGATAAGAGGGAAAGAAGCTGAACTATGGAACTACAGGAACCATGCGGGTTAAGAAGGCTTTAAAATTATAAAATATCTACAAACACACAAGAGGCTCACAAACATTTTGAGCTCTTTAAAGGGAAGTTACTTCTAGGCTAGAGAACTGGCCATTTGAAAGCAACTGTAAGGGACTTCTAACACACGTGGCCAGGCACCTGCCGCCAGGCAGCCCTGAGCCTGGCTTTATCAGATCTTTGCATGGAGGATACTGAACCATCTAGAAAAATAAAAACTCAAAAGGAAGCACACTGGGTTGCTATATTTTGGGATTTGAGCTAAATGAATTGCTTTGCCAAGGGAAGAAATAGAAGTAAGTTCACACCCTCAAATGTTCCTGTCCCCTATCCATCCAGTACAAACACCCGACTGTTGCTCTGGGCCTTGCTCTCTCTCTCGCCTCCCACTCTAGAAGCACAATTTCTCAACCTTTTTAAAGCCCGAGGGCGAGTCCCAACTGCCACCCTTGGTCTGCCAGCGGCCTTCCTCTTTTAACTTCTGCCCAAATTTAGTTTTGCCCATAACTAGCAGGCACCTGCTCTAGGTCAACACCCAACCCTTCCTCTGTGACAGACACTGTAAGGACCAGCAGACAGGTCCCTGCTGGAGCTCTTCCTCCTCCTCAGGGCCTTCCCAACACACAAACACTGCCACTCCTTCAGTGTCCTGGGAGGTTAGAAAGCTGCCAGGGAGGGAGACGGTTCCAACAGAAGCAGGGCAAATCCTTCCCCACAGTTGGGGAGAGTACACAACCATTTCCCGAAAATTAACCCACCTGCTTTAAGTGGCCAAGGCAGGGCTTTGCAAATGAAAAGGACAGAGCCTACTGGAGCTGTGTTCATATCAGCTGAGAAGTGGTCATGCCAACCGTGGGGGGGATGTAGGGGGGGCCTTTACAGACCACACCCTATTCTGTCATTGTACATGCCAACTGTGTGGGGGGGAGGACGGGGGACGGGACTTTACAGACCACACCCTATTCTGTCATTGTACCCTAACCCCACTGTATCAAAGACCTCAGCTTCGGTCTTACTTCTGTAGGTGTAACACAAGTATAACACACAGATCTGTGGAGTGGACAGGGCCACGCAAGCAGGAGTAAGTGCCGACTCCTGAAGGCCGACAACAAACCCTGGAGGAACTCAAAGGGAAGCAGAGGGAAAGAGGGAGATGGCATTACAGTTGGGGATCCTTGAGGAGAGGGAGGAATGGGGTGTGTACGGCTGTCAGGGTCACAGCTAAGCTGAGGTTCAGAGTGTGAGCAGACGGAACCAGAGGGGTGGGTTTGGAGCGGGGACCATGAGTCACTGTGGGATGACGCTTCAGTGCTCTATTTAAAAGGGGAATTCCAGGAGTCAGCCTGGAAGATGGTGCCACACAAATGTTGTCATGGCAGTGGGTAATGAGCCGAGTATATCCTTCTGTTCATGTGAGGGACTGACGTAAGGCTGGAAGGGTGAGGAATATTTACTTGGCTACTGGAGCCAGACTCTTGGCTCTGTTGGGACATGTATTGTCACCCACCATTGGAGCCACAATAACAACTCGTTTTGCAGGAACTTCTGTATGGGGGCCTATCTCCTGTAGACTCTAAGACCACAATGGCCTACCTTCACTGCTCGTGACCAGAAAATCTGCGAGTCTCATCTCTTCATAAGAATGACGAGTTGCTTCTCGTTCCTCTCCATACTGGCGATCCCAGCCAATGCCTTTCTAACAAAATCTTCCTATTGACATTCTACATAGATGTGTTGAGCACAGAGTGGGCACCTTGCAAACAGATCGAGCCGGTGGGAAAGAATTAGCCTGAAGTACCACTACTGTGATCCTTAAGCGGAGTTTCCTTGCCAGAGTGTTCCATTGGGTTTCGAGGTGGGCAGCCGCCTTGGCCCTGTGTGCTGAGAGAGAAAGCTCGATGTGACCTGGGCTGACGGCAGCTTTGGGTATTTTAAAGACCATCTTGAAAATCGCTTCTCCATTCAAAATGAAGGTTTTCAATTTTCTGTCATTCAGGGGAGCTACTGTCCAAGCTTTATTTTCCCTACTTTCCCATCTTTTCCCTGTGTGACTAAAGAACATCTCAGTAGGCCAAAAAGTAAGAAATCTGCTTCAGGCATGGCTGTCTCACAAATAAAGATAACTTGTAGTGGAAACAAGTGATCGTAGGTAGAGGGAAGGAAAGGCCCTGAAGGAAACCGAGAGGAAGCCTCCCCATGGACTGGAAGGAGCTGATGCACTCAGACCTTTTGAAGGCAAGATTTCTGCGGCTCTGTTGAGATAGTCAATGCTACAACACTCTCTATAGTGTTTTCTAGTGGACATAAGCTCATCTGAATAGCACTAATCCCAGGTTAGTCTAGACCAAGAAGTCAGTCGGATTATAAAATAAACTTCCTTTTTAGCGTCTGAGGGAAACAGAAGTCCTTTAGAGCAATTGGTGTCCCACAGTTTCCCACCTCCTGAGAGACTTCCTCTGATCTGCAGTGCTGCTGGCAGGGGAGGGGGCTACTCCTGGGCTCTCTGGGAAAGACAGGCTTGGCCTGAAGTGCAGTTGTACTGCACACTATTTGTACGACTTTGGGCAAGTTTCTTAACCTCTTGGTACCTCACTAAATGGATATAATAGGATCTTCCTTGAAGAGTCCTTGAGAGGTCAAGCACCCTATGCCAGAGTATCCTGCTATTGTGAGTTTAAAGATATAAACACTATGCAAAACTTGGCAATGGTGTGCTCACCAGAGAGGGCAAAGAAGGGGCTTCCTGTATCCAAGACCAGAAGACCTCATTCCAGAGCCTAGTGACAGCTCCTCAAGCTTGGCTAGTCTGCTGCCTATGAGCCACAAGCACCCTCCCAGTCCAGCATTACCAGGTACCAAGGCAATAACTGGAGCACCCATATGTGGGAACACACACACACACACACACACATACACACACACACACACACACACACACACGCACGCACGCACGCACGCACGTGCACACACACATATGCATAACACGCACACATTCTAATGCACAGTCCTTCCCTTACTGCAGACCACTAGAGTCTCCATCACCCACCCAGGCCTGCCCTGGGATCTAATATCACATTTGGCCCTGACATCATTATCTTTAACACACTAGATCTTAATCGAGGAACAGAACTGGATATTGGCAAGTGTTCTACTTGGGTAGCTCCACAGTTTATCAAGTGTTAGTGATGTTAATACATGACCTCAATTACTCCTCAAACAAGGCACATAATGCATTTGTGTTGACAGCAGGGGCCAACTTCATAATTTACCACTTACAAAGTGTACACCCAGACATTACCTCATTGGTACTTGCAGCAGCCTTGACTGTTATGAATGCAAGCAAGGAAACTGAGGCCCAGGGATCCCTCCCTATGCTAGGCCCTAGAAACGTGGAGAGGGAGGGTCCCATGTTAGAGCTGGCTGGAGCCCACCACTTCAGCACTTTGACGAGTTCTCTAAGGCCTTTCCCATTCAAAGACAGACATAAAGACCTTTGCCTTCCCCCTATGAGCTCTATGGTAACAATGTCAGTGCCACACCCACCTTCCTCTGTTAAGGCTAAAATAACTTGTACTGGATGGTATTAATGACAGACCAAATGAAAGGGGCTATTTTCTATTTGGGGAAAATATCCTTGGCTATCTCTTCTCCTTGGCATTTTCTGCTGTCTCACTGTTCAGAAGGACACATTTTTTCAACGGCATTGACAAGAATGAGTGAGTACTTTATGCACATTTCAGACTTGCAGAGGGAACTGCAGCCAGAGTCCTTGGAAGATGAAGTTTACTGATGAATACAGTTCCCTGCCCCCCGGAGTGTAGAACCTGGAACACAGCGAGCCTCCCTTGGGCTAAGCATAGCCCACGGAGAGGCAGGCACATTGTACCCAAGTCCCCTGGAGAGGTGCTGACAGCAGAGTCCCGGGTCATCTCCAACACAGAAAGAGCCCATGAGCATTTTCTGAACACATGAAATCAGTGAGCATCCCCCCGCATCGAAGATTCCTGTCCAATCACAGAACCCTAAGAAGGTTGATATTTTTCCCCTCCATTTCTAGGGCTAAACAATTTCATAACTGGATACATGAGAAAAGGTTGCCAAAAGCTTGATACATGTGGCAATTTGCTAAAATATATCATTCCATGCTACCTGAACATAAGGAAGGAAGAGAAAAACATGGGCAACTATGCTGTCAACTATATAAAAAAAAAGGAAGAAAAGACATTAATGTAACACATATCTGCTGCACTATACATAAAATACATCTAAAAAAAATACGAGGCACTAATAACGGTCATTACTTCGGGGGAACATTCTTTACGGTGATATACCTGCCCAGGTCGCACCGTGTCAATGCATGGCCTGTTCAAAAGCAGATAAAACTCTCTACAGTACAAAGTACCCAGCTGCTCCAATAAACCACAGGGGGATGAGAAGAAAGGAAAGGGGGCGCTCTGAAGCTTCGGAGGAGAGCGCTTGCCTCGCATGTTAGGCACAATGATGCACCCCTGTAATCCTAGCACTCAGGAGGGTTCAGGAAGGAGAATGGTGTGCACTTCAGGCTAACCTGGGCTACACAGCAAGACCCTGTCCCAAATCACAACCTCATAAGAGACAAGGATACAAAGAGACAGTGTCATAAATAGTAGAACAATGAACTAGAATGATCACAAGTCAAGAGATCAGCCAAGCTTGGGCATATTCAGGGTGGTATGGCTGTAGAAAGGTTACATTCAATGAATAATGGCACACTGGATGTTAAAAGGATTAGCATTCTTTTTTTTAGATGTTAGATATGTAATGAGAGTATTTTGAAACGATATCATGGAAGTATTTACAGATGTAACAATGTGCTTGGGGTCAAATTTAAGATAAATGTGGGTTGGCTGAGGTAGCTAGAAGAATTTATGAAACTCCATTACTCACAAGCCGGTGATGGGCCCTGGGGCCATGGGGGCTCACTACATGATTCTGTATACTGTGTATTTTTTAAATTTCCACAATAAAAAGCTAACAAGGGAATGAGTGGTTATTCAGTAACAGACAAGAGCCTGGTAGCCAATGAGATCCAAATTCATCCCTAGCTTTCAGCTCCAGTCAAGTTCAGGGCAATGGCCCCTGAGCTCATGTGTCACCATGACAAATAAGCTTTAGCTGCTGGCTGCTGCCATTTTGACATTGTGTTTAGGTCACACAAACGATCTGTGTTATCCAATTATTATTTATCATTATTCATTTGAAAAGTCCCTGCCTCTTTTCTGTGCTAAGCCCATCTTTGCATTTTTTTTTCTACTAATGGGGTTTCCTGGCTCCAACTCATCAGGATTTCCCACACGTACATGAGGTGCACCAACGCTGTATGTGTGGAGCCTAATATTATCAATAATCCCAACATTCCAGGATGGGTCTGTCAAGTATTTTTAATTATCATTCACATAAAACAAAGAAGACTGAGGGCTGAGTGTTCATCTGCGACCTCAGGAAACCTCACAAATAGACCCTGGGCCCTGGATTGGGAAATTTTAGCCCAAGGTCAGAGTGCTGGTGCTACGAAGGCAAGCAAACAGGATCTGGGACCTGATGAGAGGTCACCCCCTGACATGCTACATCATGTGCTTAATAGGCTTACACGCACACTTCAGAAAATCTCATGTGTAAACACTGCCAAGTGCCTTACCTAACCCTACTCCTTACCTAATGTTGCTGAGCTCACAGCTCAACCATCTCCCACCTTCCATTCCTTAAGAAATTCAACACCTGTTAGGTTGTGGTGGCACTCGGGAGCTGAAGCAGCTGATCTCTGTGAGTTCGAGGCCAGCCTGGTCTACAGAGCGAGTTCCAGGACAGCCAGGACCACACAGAAAAACCCTGTCTCAAAAAGGAAAAAGAAAGGGAGGAAGGAAGGAAGGAAGGAAGGAAGGAAGGAAGGAAGGAAGGAAGGAAGGAAGAGAGAAAAGTCCAACACGGCACTTCACACATGAACGAATCCAGACCCCAGGAGTTGAAGAACAATTTCCCCTAACAGCTTTATTTCTTTCTAACATGCTAGAAACTCAAGGTCTGGACTGCCAAGGATGCTGGATCTGTAAGCCCACAAAAAGGTACCATGTCCAGAAAGCGCTGGGTGGAATGGATGCCCTGGTTTCCCAGTACTGCTTAAGAAAGTTGAAAAGGTGAGGCCGCTTCATGAATACAGTCCTCTGCAAGGGAATCTAGGCCCTCCCAAATGCCATGATTCAACAGCCATAAGGACAACTTTTTGACCTTGTATAGAAGACTCCCTCTATTCTAACACACCTGACTTCCTTAAATGCTAACATATCTGTCGACGTGTTTATTCATGAATAAAATGAAGGTGATAAGCGATCTTATTTGCATTCCTTATTTGAAAAGTTTTGAATTCGGGTGAACTTGTGTTGGACTTCCTGGTTTTGGGGTTTGTTTTCTGTTTTTTTCACTGACATGACTAAGCAAACAGTACATGTTCAGATGATGGTACACAAACTGGGGGTACTTGTTAGCAGATTTTGTCTCTTTTATTGGAGAAAGGATTGAAAAGAATAACTGCTAACAACACCCCCGTCTTCGTGTGCACAAGAAGGTACCTGTGGTACACATGAGGGATGCCGTGGGTGCCCAGCAGTGAGTTAGGACCAGGAAGTGATGACTCAAGACTGGCCGCTCTGACTAACATCTTCAACATTCAGTCATTTCCAAGGTGACTTTAGACCGGACTCAGAGGCAAATAAAAGCAAGATAAAGGCTGAGGCACATTCAAAGAAAACCCAAAACCCACAGGCAAAATCATGTTTAAATCAGTGTGGTTATTTAAAACACAAGTACAGCCACAGGAAACTCCACTGTGGAGAACCAGAAACCCT